AATACCAACATTTACCTTCTCTCTTTACTTGGACCTAAAATATTTAGTGAGGAAAGGACATAATCTCTTATTATCAATTGAAATCTGTTGTTAGTTGCCATCAAGTTGATTTCAACTCATGGTGATCTCATGTGTGCAGAGTAGAACTGCTCCATAGGGTTTTCAAAGCTGTGACCTCTCAGAAGCAGATCACCAGGCCTGTCTTCCAAGGCATTTCTAGGTTGGTTCAAACTTGCAACCTTCCTGCTAGTAATTGAGCACTTACCCATTTGTGCCAACCAAAAGCAAAATAACTCACTGCCATCGAGTCGATTCTGACTCATAGCGACACCCTTTGGGTTTCTGAGGCAGTAAATGTTTATGGAAGTAGATTGCCCAGTCTTCCTTCCGCAGAGTAGCTGGTGGGTTTGCAACCGCCAACCTTCTGGTTAGTGGTCAAATGCCTTAGGTACTACAGCCACCAGAGCTCCTTTTGAATCATCCAGGTACTCCTAATTGAAGTCTAGAGGGAGGAAAAAAAATCATTTATAATAATAGAAAAAGGAAATAAATATTTTATTAAAAGCATAAAATAGGATGGCAAAAGTAAGATAAAATTTATCAGATATTTCAATCATATGAAAAGATGAAAGCCTCTTCTTAAAGGACACAAGTTGTAAAACTGGCATGGTCTTGCTCTATATTCCCCTGCCTTTTCTAGATCTCACTCTGCTGGTGGTGGGGGCTGAATGAGGACTAGGGGAGCCTTTTGTATAATGCGTCAGCTGGTGAAGGTGGGGATGCTGGGCTCCTTTTGGATGGACTGGTTCTATCTGCTGCTTGTAGCCTCAGTCCACATTGTGGCCTCCATATAGATGGGGCTATGGTTTACTTTGGGAGCTCTGGTAGCATAGTGGCTAAGGCACTTGACTGTTAACCAGAAGGCTGGCGGTTCAAACCCACCAGCCACTCCTCGGAAGGAAGATGGGGCAATCTACTTCCGTAGTGATACTGCCTCGGAAACCCAAGGAGGGTCCAGCTTGATGTCACATAACAACAACAACAACAACAATGGTTTACTTGGAGTGAGGTTTAGCTTCCTTCTAGCCCTTTCTTCACTGGAAAAATCATGTCTCCCTTTGGCCTCACCAGTGGTCCATGCCACCAAGTTCCTCTGAGGGGGCATCCTCTAACTTAGCTAGATGGCCTCTCAATTCCTACCTATCATCTCTTCTTCAGCTTCTTTCCATGGAAGCATGGGAACTGCTGAGGTACCCACAGTCCCCTTCAGGTGCAACAGAGGATGGAAGTGGGGTGACTCCATCTTCTTCTAGACACACTAAGCCACCATTACTAGCTATCCCAGAAAGCACCCTGGGTTCAGAAATCCAAAGGTCCAGATCGTTTTGGGGAAAATTCTTTTAAATCTTTAAAATAGTTTCAAATTCTTTTAGACAATCTCAGAAACTCACTGTTGTCGAATTGATTGCAACTCATAGTGACCCCTCCTTGGGTTTCTGAGGTGGTATATCTGCAGAAGTAGATTGCCCAATCATCCTTCCTAGGAGTGGCTGGTGGGTTTGAACTGCCAGCCTTCTGATTAGCAGTCATATGCCTTAGGCACTATGCTAGACAATCGAAAAAGAAAAAAAAATTAATTTTATAAAACTAACATAATTCTGATACCAAATCCTGGCACAGAGCACAAAACAGAAAACTACAGACAACTTTCACTTTTAAAGACAGTTGCAAAAATCTTAAATATAATAATAACAAACTCAATCTAGTCATAGAATAAAAGTATAAGAACAGGTGGAGTGTGATAGTTAAGGTTATGTGTCAACTTGGCTGGGCCTGGTTTTGAGTGGCTGGGCCACTGAATGTAGTTATTCCCCAAGATGAGATTGGTAATCAACTCCATGGTGGAATCTACTGGAGCAGCTGAATAGCTGCCTTAGGGATGTGGTCTGCTTCCTGTATATAAGAAGCACCTTTGAAGACGGTCTCTAGCTTTTGACACACTTGAATCCTGCTTATAGCTGAGTTGTCATTCAGCAGCCTGTCATGTTATCTGCTGATCTTGGGACTGTTAATGGACTTGAATCAGTGGCCTTCTGTGTGTTTGGTAATATTAGGACTGTGCCTTTTTACTGGTTGACCCTGGGCTTGTTAGCCTCAGCAGCCAGGAGCTGCCTGAGTAAAGAAAGTCTCCAGCTTCAGTGGCCTGGGAGGAAGAGGTAGAGCTGAACCCCAGCGTCAGAAGGCTTTCACCTAGACCTTAGAGCCTGGCACTTTGAACTCAGACTTCTAGCCTCCAGAACTATGAGGGAATAAATTCCTGTTTGTTAAAGCCATCCCATTTGTGGTATTTCTGTTAGAGTGGCACGAGGTAACCAGAACATGGGGTGTTTTTCAAGGTATATGGTGGTCATTTGTTAAAGTGTAATTTCCTAAAATTAATTTTTAATGTCAAGGGGGGTGAAGGGACAATTGAAATCAAAAGGGAAATTTGATACATTGACACTAATGTTAGTTTGGTTGAATAATTTCATGAAAATAGCTAGGAAATTTTGAAATAGAAGAGTAATGATAAGGAATTTGCTTTACCAGATATTAAAATTTATTTCAAAGCTACAGTATGGTCAACCAGTTAATGTCAAGTCAATTCTGACTCAAGCCAAAGTGAATCAGTGAAATAAAATAGAAAATCCTAAAATAAAACCAAATGCACATGATAAATATAAAGGGTTGTTGTTGTTGTTATGTGCCATCGAGTTGGACCCGACTCATAGCGACCCCCCTTGGGTTTCTGAGGCAGTATCACTATGGAAGTAGATTGCTTCATCTTCCTTCTGAGGAGTGGCTGGTGAGTTTGAACAGCCAGCCTTCTGGTTAGCAGTCAAGTGCCTTAGGCACCATGCTACCAAAGCTCCTAAGATAAAGGATAGTAGGATAGTATTTGAAGTCAGTGGAGAAAGAATGGATTATTTAATAAATTCTTTTGGGAATAACTCCTTAAGTCTTATCATTAACAACAAAAAAGACTTAATAAAACCTCATACTGTTTGCCAAAATCTAAATGGATTAAAAGTAAAAATATCACATGAAAAAAATTAAATACAAAATAGAATAAAGTTTAGTTGAATGTTGATATGTAACTGTGGAGGATAAAGCATGCATGAAAAGTTTGGTCAGTTTGATTACTTATATTCTTTAAAATTTCTGCATGTATGCCAAGACAAAACAGAAACCCTTTTTCCAGTCCCATTCCCAATACACATTCCAAAAATGGAATTAAAAACCAGATAGTAAAATGGGAATAATGTTTAGGTCAAATATGATGTGTTGTTGTTGTTGTTAGGTGCCATCGAGTTGGCTCCAACTCGTAGCAACCCGGTGTACAACAGAACAAAACACTGCTCAGTCCTGTGCCAGCCTCACAATCCTTGCTATACCTGAGTCCATCCTTGCAGCCATTGTGTCAGTCCATCTCATTGAGGGCCTTCCCCTTTTTTGTTGACCCTCCACTTTACCAAGCATGACATCCTTCTCCAGAGAATGGTCCCTTCTGACAACATGACCAAAGTAGGTGAGATGAAGTCTGGCCATTCTCACTTCCAAGGAGCATTCTGGCTGCTCTTCTTCCAGGATAGATTTATTCATTCTTCTGGCAGTCCATGGTAGTTTCATAGTTTCAGTATTCACAATTCAAAAGTATCAACCCTTCTTCAGTCTTCCTTGTTCATTGACCAGCTAAACATGATGCATCAAGGGTTAATATCTGTAGGCTAACAGAGGACTTTTCAAATTTTTAAGAAAAAGAATGGTAGAAAACCAAATTGATAGTAAATGTCAAAAGTCTTAGAAAAATTCATGTCTTGGCCAGCAAATCCTCTTCTAGGAATTTATCCTAAGGAATTAATTGTGTATGTCTGTAAATACATGTGTTAGGGTATTTTTCAAAGAGTTGTCTATGAAAGCCAAGAGAGAATGGAGAGAAAGAAGGAAGGAAGGGAAAAGATAAGAAATGAAGAGAAAAGGAAAAAAGGAAAGAGGAAGGATCTTAAATGTCCAAAAATAGGAGGTGGTTAAAGAGATTATGATACACTTGACAACTGGTAGTAATTGAAAGTGATTGGAAAGATGCTCACAATGGTGTGCAGGAAGATTCTTTCATGGAAACAACTATATGTAAGTACATATACAAATATTTTCATAAGGAAATCTGGAAGCTTCTATGCCAAAGTGTTAATTTATTGGTAGCTCTAGGTTAATAGATTATTGCTGACTTTTCTCAATTTTGCCTAAGTATATTTTCTATTTCTTTGCTTTTTGTTTTTAAAAAATGACCATGTTTAAGCTTGAAATAATAATAATAATAAAATGTTATTCTGAGGCTAGGTACAATAATCTTAAGATACTAGGTTGCTCTGTAAATATGTGCTCATTCTTATCCTGATTCCTCTCATCTGGTCCTGCATCCTGTCCACATTCTAGCTCCTGGCCACCAGCTCTGGGAAGATCTCCTTGACTTCCTAGGCCTTCTTTATCGTCCAATTTTCTGAGCCATGCATGATAGACTACCTCATATTTGTTCTTTCAATGTTTTCTATGTCTTTGTCCAATCTCCACAAAAGAAACAGTAAGCTCCCAAAGGCAGGGATAGGCCTTGTGATTCTTCTATACCTCCCTCAATGTTCCAGACAGAGATGACTAGCTGCTTCTGGGAGAAGAGCTGGGCCAGAATTCTCTGACAGGGAGTATTGATGAGAAGGTCATGGGGCCCAGGAGGTCAGCTGAGGCATTGCCTGGAGTTGATGCAGCTGAGCAGAGCCCAAAACTGAGGATGCCAAAGACCACAAGCACAGCATCCTGAGCTGGATGGAGCCCGCCTTGCAGTGGGAAGGCCGGCAGAGACCTGCTTTTAATAGCCTTTCCAAACTCTTCAAATTTCCATGGATAATTTGTCATGTTAACCTATATCTATATTTTTTTCTTTTGTATCCATGTGATGTGAACAGGTCCTAACATCCCCATGGACCAACCCTGTTGTCGTGGTCTCTATGACTTTGAGCCAGAAAACCAAGGAGAACTAGGATTTAAAGAAGGGGACATCATTACATTGACCAATCAAATAGATGAAAATTGGTATGAAGGAATGATACACGGGGAATCGGGATTCTTCCCCATTAATTACGTTGAAGTGATCGTGCCTTTACCTCAGTAAATGTGTAACTCAAACTTTGGACATACTTTCATAACTGAAATGAATTCACACCAATGCTCTCAATGTGGTGTTCTGTGACATCCTTGCTCTTTGATCAACTTAAGAACTTTTGTATGTGTGTTGTTTTTTTAATGTATTTTGTATCACTTTAATTTGTATAAATGACTTTCTTGTCTTAGCTGCAATATATATATATATATATATATATATGTATATATACAGTTTTCTTTTTTGCTTATTGTCCTAAATGTATGTGCTTCTTGTTGCTAAAAACAAACAGTACCCATTGGAGTTATAGCAACAAACTGTCTATATTCCTCAGGTGCAGTGGTTTTAAAAGGCAACATTTGAAACTAAGAAATGCTACATGTTTTGTTTCTTGACATTACTGATGGCCTCCATTTTTTTCCTTCAGCGTGTTTTAGCTTACCTTTGATTAGCCCAATAAATATGACACACTGTATTGCCAAAAGGCGTTGGTTATTCTCAATGTTGAATTGATTTTTAAGCACACTCTTCCAGTTGCACACTCCTCCTGTGCCCCATGGCTGACCAGGGAGTCACAGAATAGATGCATAGATGTTGGCTCCTGAGGTCAGCAGGCCAGAGAGTGGGCCTTTACTTCTTGCCTAAATCAAACATGGTACAACCTCCTTTCAAGTTGGGGGATGGAAAACCCTTCCATACACGTTCAAGTTTATTTTTAAAAGAGCCTAACTCAGCTGCTTCTGCTGCCAAATACTGGGTAAGTTTTTTTAAGCAAGTCCTATGATGGATGCTTAGGAAACAGCATGATCAGGAAGTGGGCTGAGTGCCCAAAGATGATCATGTAAGTTTGATGACCCTTGCCCAGGGTATGCATCTCTCATATGCTTTGGCCCAGTGGAGCCCACAGCAACACTGTTAGGGAGGTGGAAATGTGTCATTTCCCTTTTTGCAGAGGAGACTCATTGAATGACTTGCCCAAAATCAAAGAGCCGAGAGGTGGTAGAGTCAGAGTTTGAACGCAGACTGTTTACTGCATCACACTACCCACTTACATGTTTATTACCCAAGTCACTTGGAAGAGTATTGCTGTTCACTGACATTTGTAACAAATGCTCAGAGATCATCGGTTTGTTAAGGTCATCAACACCAGGGATCCAAGTCTCCTGAGCCCTTTGTTCATCTATATGAATTCACAACAACAGGCATCGTCTCTCTCCTTTGCTTTCCCACCAGCCACCTACAACACACACTTTCTTCTCCAAAACAGTTATACCTATAGTGTCTATAATAAAATAATAATGTTGTTGTCAGCTGCTATTGAGTCAGCCCCCGATTCACGGCAATCCCATGCATAACAGAATAAAATGCTGCCTGCCTGCACCATCCCTATGACCACTTACAGATAGAACTGTTGTGATCCATAAGGTTTTTATAGGCTCATTTTTGGAAGCAGATTGTCAGGCATTTTTTGCTAGTCCGTCTCAGTCTGGAAGCTCTGCTGAAACCTGTTCAGTATCATAGTAACATGCAAGCTTCCATTGGCAGATGAATGGTTGGTGGCTGTGCATGAGGTTCATTGGCCGGAAACTGAACCTGGGTTTCCAGCATAGAAGACAAGAATTCCACCAACAACTCTCAAATAGGCTAGCCTGGGCATACTCTCATGGCAAATGCAGAGGTGCAAGAGCACAGGTGGAAAGGCTGAAGTGATTCTTAACCTGTTTACATTAAGCGTGATACCATCAGAAGGAGCCCTGATGACACATTGGTAAACCATTCAACTGCTAACTGAAGGGTCAGCAGTTCAAACTCACCAGCTCCTCTGTGGGAGAAAGATGTGGCAGTCTGATACTTTAAAGATTATAGCCTTGGAAACCCTATGGGACACTTCTACTCCGTCCTACAAAGTCAGTATGAGTTGGAATCTACTTGACAGCAACAGGTTTGGTTTGGGCGGGAAGATGGAAGAAGAGTTGATGCTTTTGAGTTGTGGTGTTGGCAAAGAATACTGAAAGTACCATGGACTGCTACAAGAACTCACAAATCTGTCCTGGAAGAAGTGCAGCCGGAACACTCCTTGGAAGCAAGAATGTCCAGATTTCATCTCACCTACTTTGGTCATGTTGTCAGAGGGACATTCTCTGGAGAAGGATATTGTGCTTGGTAAAGTGGAGGGTCAATGAAAAAGTGGAAGGCCCTCAGTGAGATGGATTGACACAGTGGCTGCAACAATGGGCTCAGGGATAGCAAGGATCGTGAGGCTGGCACAGGACCAGGCAGTGTTTTATTCTGTTCACATAAGGTCGCTATGAGTTGGAGATGACTCGACGCCACCTAACAACAACAACAACACCATCCCACTGGCTAAACAAGTCACAGAGCTGGACCTAGAGTCAGAGTGGGAGAGCTTTGCTGTTATATGGAAAAAGGTAAAGAAGTGGGAGTAGTTAATCAGCCATAATTATAAATATTAATATTCATAAATGGATTAAGGTCATCTTCTAGGTTCATTGTCCTTGAGGGTATGTTCTTTTCTTCTGAGGTTCTGTGGTCCCTCAAACAAATGGACTCCTGAAAAACATATTCTTCCATCTCAACTTATGTTATTTGACATCATCAGCATGGATACTGCATCAAGTGGCATCCATCTTCACTTTGCTTCCCCTCTCTTGTTTTGCTGTAGAGGTAAATGTGTTACCTCTATAACCCAGTAAACTCACCTGGTGTCCAGTTTCATGACATCTTGCATGGCCATGTACATGGTCCTAGCCCCAGTGTATAACTGGGTTTTCTTCAACTCTCCCCTTGGAGCACTGAGCACAGCTGGCTAGGATCTGGCCAATGGGAAGCACCCATGTTGGTCTCAAGGGGCTGAACAAGGAAACCATAATCCTACTTGAGGTATGAGGGGGTACAAAGAGCAGGAAGGGCAAATGAAAAGCCATGTCTGTAAGGAAAAATTACAAGTTCAACTGTTGTTGTTGTTGTTATGTTGTTATCGAGTTGGACCCGACTCATAGCGACCCCTCCTTGGGTTTCCAAGACAGTATCCCTACGGAAGTAGATTGCCCCATCTTCCTTCCAGGGAGTGGCTGGTGGGTTTGAACTGCCAGCCTTCTGGTTAGCAGTTAAGTGCCTTAGGCACTATGCTACCAGAGCTCCCAAGTTCAACTAGGAGGCCAAATATTCACACCACAGCCAAGTCCACAGGGCAGAATCAAGAGTAATAAACAACACACAGTCAGGGAACTCTGATAGGTCAAGTCCTAGTGAAGGGGGTTCAGTAGGAAGATGCATCACTGCTTAAACATGATGAATTATCTGACTAGAAGATGCCCAAAAGTTGCACGAGTTTCCTTTGACATAAATATTCTTGGCTGCTTCAAAAATGAGTCATGGAGATGGAACAAAGTGGATGTTATGGCTCCTCCAGGAAAAATTGTAGCAGCTTCTTGGATTGTCTTGGGACCAAGGGTTCCTGGGAACCTTTACTTAGAACAATTCAGGCCTGGACTGTTAATCTTAGGAGCTAGCTTTTGTCTTCTACCCCACATGAAGGATGGATTCATTATGTTCACCTTTGTGGAGGAGAGAGCCCCTTCCTAGGCCAAGTGCATCAGTTGCTTCACAGCATTTTCCTGTTTAATCTTCACAGCAACACTGTATTATGGATTGAATTGTGTCCCCCAAAAAAGATATGCTGAAGTCCTACGCATTAGTTAATGTGACTTTATTTAGGAAAATAGCATTTTTCTTTGCATCTATAATTAGTTAGGTTAATGAAGTCATATTGGAATAGGGTGGGTCCTAATTCTTACAAGTGGCATTTTATAAAAGACAACCAAAAAAAAAAAAAAAAAACCAAAAAAACCCCTCACTGCCATTGGGTCGATTCTGACTCATAGTCATTCCCACTGGATTTCAAAGGCTGTAAATCTTTACAGAAGCAGACTGCCCCATTTTTCTTCCATGGAGCAGCTGGTGGGTTCAAACCACTGACATTTTGGTTGGCAGTCAAATGCCTTAACAACTACATCACCAGGGCTCCTTTATAAAAAAGAAAGACAAGACAAACACAGTTACTCTTCACTTATCAACTACCTAGTTATCCAATATTTTGCATTTATAATAGTAAAAAATCTACTGTCTAACTATTTTGCATATTAATGACGTGTGTCTGGCAGTGTGAGCTGAGAGTAATGCTGGCTGTGATGGCTAAGGTTATGTGTCAGCTTCACTGGGCCATGATTCTCAGTAGTTTGGCAGTTATGTAATGTGATAATCCTCCATTTTGTGATCTGAGGTGATCATCTTCAACTTTTACATAATGCCTATTTTCAGATAATGACTTGATCTTTGGAACCTATCCATGTTGATAAATGAGGAGTAGTGGGACATCATATTGTATGATTTCACTAATATAAAATACCTAGAATAAGCAAGTGTATAGAGATTAGAGTTTAACAGTGGTTACCAGGGGTGAGTGCAGTGGAGTAAGTGGGGAATCATTGTTTAGGTAGCATTGAGTTTTTGTTTATGGGATGGTAAATTTGCCAATGAAAACTGGTGATGATTGATATAATTAGTTTCATTAAACTGTACACATGAAAAATATAGAACTGGCAAATGTGTGTTTATATTTTTACAATAATAAAATTATTTTTGAAAAAGAGAGAGAGAGACATGGAGACAGAGTCACAGGGGGAAAGCAGATGCCTTAAGATGATGGGCACAGATTCTTCTACACACAGCAAAGGAAAGCCAAGAAACACACCCAAGGCTACAGAAACTGAAGAAGACATAGGAGGTCTTCCCCTGGGAACGAGAGAGAGAGAGAGAGAGAGAGAGAGAGAGAATGAGAATAGCTCTGCTGATATTCTAAATTTGGGCTTCTAACGTACAAAACTGTGAGAAGAATGAATGATTTTCTGTCTTTATACCCACTCACTTTGTGGTATTTTGTTATGGCAGTCCCAGGAAACTAAGACACACTGTAAGTCAGGTTGTAATGTTTCTACTTGCAGATGAAGAAATAGAGGTTTAGAAAAGGTAAATGACTTGCAGAATATCACAGAGCTCAACTCTATTTCTTATTACTCTATTTCCCTACCATATTTATGTTTTTGAGTTTCTACCCTACATATGATGTTCCCTTTGCCCACTAAAGAGGAGCCATTAACCATTTTGCACTTTGTGACCCTGTCCTGCTGTTCACAGTTGACTAGGCTGACAGGCACTCAAATCAAAGGCTAATCAATCTCCTCCCTGGGCTTTTGGAATTTTATATATGCTTTTGGTGTTATAGATACTCATTCTTAGTCTATCTACTCATTCTCTTTTGTTCCTTTTTTACCAAGCTATCAAAATGTCACATATTTTTATTTCACAGTTCATCTATTGTTATCTTTTATTTGAACTCATTTTATTGAAATTTTATTTGAACTTTTTTTTCCTTCTTTCTATGTACATTTGGAATTT